AATAGCGCCGCGCAGTCCAAACATGAATCACCCAAAGTTACCCAACTTGTGGGGAGCAGAGTTAGGATTCATGTCACTTTTAAGATGCAGGACAATGCTGGCAAGTCTTCAGGATTTAACAAGTAGAAGAGGAACTACTTAGGGCAGGAACAGGGCTGGCGGTCAAAATGTGAATAAAATGAAGGTAAGGAGAAGAAATTTTGAATTCAGAGTATATGTTTAGGAAAGTAAGAAAATAATTCAAATTCAGTTGTGGAACTAAATTCCTAAAATCCATTAGAACACAAGCTCTCTGAGGGCAAGGACTTTCACTGTTTTTCATTGCCATATAACCAACCTCGAACCGTGCCTGGTGCATGCAAGGTACTAAGTACATATTCATTAAATGAACAAAAAAAGGAAATGATAGAAGAGAATCACTAACATGTGAAAAAATAATAAAAATGAAAACATGAGCATAAAAGTAGACATGGCATAGTTTATGGTTTCATAGAAAATCCAATAGATTCAGTGGACAAGGGCTATATTCCTAATTCTTAGGGGCTTCTAGCTTAACTTTAGATAAGTCATAACTTTTCATGCCTCTGTTTCTCAATTTACAAATTATCTCTTCTTTCATGCTTTAAAATGATATTTTGAGCTATTATTAAAAGGGAAAGGGAAGCAAGGAAGAACAAAGATGTATGACTTGGGGCATTAGTGATTTTCTGGAAATGCAGACATGCAGATTTGTACACACATGACGGAGTCTGCAGAGAAACTGGCATGAAGCCTACCAAGGAAAGAAAAGACAGGTGGTGATGCTTTTATATCTTAGAATGCAACGAAATATTGATACATAAAGCCAAAATGGCCTAATTAGAAAAATAAGAAAGACTCAGGATAGAATCCAGAGGGTGGGAAGGTAGAGGAAGGAAAGAAAACTGACCTGGGGATCATAGAGGAGTAGGAGGAACGAAGTGGGATGTGCAGGAAAGAGTGAGCCACTTGGCCATTGGCTACATGGCAGGAAAGAGCTCAACCAAGAAAAGCCAAGGTGTCTTCAAAAGCAAGCTGGACATTGTATGGGTGGTCAGATAAAAAAAAAAATTTATATGCGCAAAACAAGACGGTGAAAAGAAAATCCAATTTTAATGGTATGAACTCCACACCCTTGACCAGTGGTAACCACCAGAGCGAGTCTCCAGCTCTAACTCTCTAGAACAGGGGAAATGGGACAGGAGACAGGTCACTACTCTGTTCTCTACCCTTCGGATTTCACTAAACCTTTCAGAACTTGTGAATATCAGTGAAAGAATTTCACTAACTCTTTCAGAGTCTGGGTTGGCTCATTAGTAAATTTATAAAATGATTTGGTTCAAATCGGGGGTCTTTCAGTTTCTTCCAGTTTTTAATGTCTTAGGGTTTAAATAAGTATGGTAAAAGCAAAGAAAAGTTACTTGAGAACACTATTCTGAAATACCTACAAGAACAGTTGCAAGGATCAAATACCTACAAGAACAGTTGCAAGGATCAAATACCTACAAGAACAGTTGCAAGGATCTAGAAGAATCTACTGGGCTAAAAATGAATGCCATTTGAAACTGAAGGGAAGAAATCCTTTGGTAGATTAAATGAATCATGTTGAGCTTTGTAAATAGTAGTGATTCATATTGTCACTGTGGTAACAATGGTTTGCCATGCAACCCAGTACAAAGATTTAAGACAAAGCAAAACAAGTTTGGCCTAAGATGAAAATACTACTCCATTCTTGTACCCAAGAGTCCATCATCAAGCAAGCTGTCCCATACAGAAATACATACATTTCAAGATGGCACCATAGTTTCCTGGCTGCAATTTAATGAATCAGCTCTTTTTATAATAATCTAAGTTTGCAATCTCCCAGAGTTAGGTCTTTCCACACAAATAGAGGGCAAGAAAAATTTAAAAGCCCAGGCAAAACAATCCTACAAATGAATGGTTCCAGTGTTATCTGACTTGCTGGAAAATAAAAACTTAACTATTATCATGGTGATACAATGTGTGGTAGTGAAAAAAATACTAATCACACAGAGAAACTTTAGAATTATACATATATTTTCCAGCCCTGTATTAGATTTCTTAAGATCTATATGTATGCATAGATTAATATGGTGAAAACATGAAATTAAATTACCTTATGAAAGAAATATCCATTTTAGAAAAGCTGGCACAGCCACTATAGCTATAGGCAATCTAAAGTACTCTAGTTTGCCTTTTATGATAATAAAGACTAAGAATGTTTTAATTTTAAAAGAATCAGGGAGGAAGGGAGTAATTCTAGTGTTATAGAATAAAACCCTAACACTAATAGGTAGATTGGTCTGGGAAAGAGCACAGCAGACGCAATTACCAGGATTGTCTCTCCTCCAGTGTCTCAGGCCCCAGGATAAAGAAGAATCAATTAGCCCTCAACAGACTATGACCTTGAAGGTTACAGCTCTGAGCAGAATATGCCGAATATGCTGAGACAGAGAGAAAAGGGAGAACAAACTCCTGAAACCAAGGAAGAACATGCTTCGGATCCGGTTATGTCATTTTAAAATAAACACAACGATGCTCGGTTCATGTCAAAAGCATGCACGCTGAAAGGAAAGCTCCAGATCTTCCTGTGACTAAGCAATACTTTCTTAGGTGAAAAGAAAAAAAGTGAGAGAGATTAAAAAGTGACAAAATTCACTTCCAAACCTTTTTTTAAAAATTCCCATTTGTTGATGGTTACAAGCGTTTTAAACAAAAGCAACCACTTATGAGTGTCTGCAAACAAACAAAGATCCAAGGACCAACCTTTTAAAAAAAAAAAGACTCTCAATTTTTTGGATACTGTAATTTTGTTGTTTTTAGTCACTATTCCAAAAAATTAACACAGAGTTCCACACACAGAAAACCCTGCAGGCTGTACAATGTTAACCAACTGTCCATCCCTAACTTTTCAGGAGAAAACTACTTCCCAGACTGCGTTTCCAGCCCCATTTCCAATGCACTTCCGAAGGCTGCAGCTGTGCTCAGCCAGCACTGGCCTCCGTGATACTTTTAGGCAGCAGTAAATCTCTTCCACTAAATGCAAGTGCCAGAAAATCAATGCCCTTCCTTTGGAAAAAAATTTAAAAAGAAGCTATATGGGATGTATAATCTATTAAAACCCTTAGTAGAAGAACTTAGCTTAAAAAATAATTTCTCAAAAAGTCACCACATACTTTGTAATATGGTCTTAGATCATGAAAATGTGCTGGATGTTTCTTTGTTTGCTTGTTTTCTTCAGATGACAAAATTATAGAATTTAGCTGACAAGTGTTTCCAAAGGGTCCTCTTTCTTTCTGTGGACCACTAAACCTATTCGGCCACATTTTCATTAAAGACAAGTTAAAAACGCTAAAGACAAAGGAGTAACCTTGTCCTCATGGTGCATTTTGCTTCTCCTTGCAGGATCTGTACTTGCTTTTTATAGCCTGTCATTTCATCTGGGTATTATTTCCCGGTCACTTTGCCAGGTGGGAAGAGGCGGCGAATGCAGTGATGTCTGTCAGCCCTTTAATGATGCTTCAGGGATTTGATAAAGATACAAAGCAGTGTCTGCAGAAAGGAGCTCCTCTCCTAATTACACCTGAAAAACAAGCCTCTTTTTTTTTTTTTGAAACCTCTGCCACTGAAACTGGTGTGTATGAAACAATCTTGAATTGCAAGCAGAAGTCAAGTTTTGCTGTGTTTCTATAACACATGGCTCTATCTCATCCTGAGCATAACGTCTGAAAGACTATTCTTTTTCTTCATTACCATCTAGAGGGACACAGAAGGAGTATTTCATCACTGAATTCTTACCCTCAACTCACCTTTAACTCCAAAAGATTCTACATATGTTACTAGGAACCAAGTTCTCTGATCTTTTACATTTTCCCACTAAGGAAATATTCATAGATAGAAAATAGTGATAGAAGATAGAACACAAAAGTAAATTAGAAATATTTTTTTAAAAGCTAAAGATATCTCTTCCTTTCTATACTGATGCTTAGAACATTCTGACCAGTCATGGTTCCAGCCTTGTCAACTTTCCATCACGGAGCATTGCGAGCACCCAGGCCAGACACCAACATCCTGCTCTGCATTGTTTTAAAAGCATGGGCTCTCTTCACTCACATGTTATTAAGCTGGGCTGCTGCAATGTGACAAGCAAATGACACATGCCAAAAAAACCCACAGCGATGAACCTTTCTAGTGAATCCTGCACTTTTTAATGACTGCCAAGAAAGCTACTTAAACATTTGATTACAGAAGACAAGACTCATCCGGGAAAATCCTTTCATGCAGAATTGTACTGTGCCTTGAATGAAATCAGGCTGCCTCTAAGAAGTGCCCAGTAGCCAAAACTACAATCGGAGCAGGACGCCAATGGTCCGATGCTGGGGAGAGGTGAGCGCTGTAAATGCCTGAAGGCTTGATGCAGTACCGGGAAGAACCAACTGAAATACAGGCGAGGGGAGAGGTGGTCAAGGGAACAGGGAGAAGAGATGGAGGGGGGCTGCTGGAGGCAGAGGGAAACGGAAAGGTGAACGGAGGTAACGGGAAAATGTTCTGGGGAAAAGACACAAAGTCATACTCACTGCTACACGGAAGTCACACTTACATTAAAAAGTAAATGATGACCTGATACTTTAATTGCAGCCAATGTTAGAAATCAACCGAATTTCACTTAAGTTCAAGCGCGCCTGGCAGATGCTGAAGTTTTGGGTCCCCCACCCCAGATTCGGCAATGCGGCTAGAAAGAGTGGCTGTCAGGGCACCGGTTCACGCCGGCAGTTTTGCAAGATCTTTCCACTCATCTCTTCGCCGCCACCCGAGCATCCCAGTCACATGACGCGCTCCAACGACACCATACCATTAAGACGCGAGGAGAAAAGCAAACAGTTACACGCTCCGGGGAGCACTCGGCCGGACCTCGAGCCCACCCCTGTCCTCTAATCGCCATCGTCTCTCTCTCTACTTACAAAGTTTAGGAGCAGTTTGGAGATTAGTTTCTGTTGTTTGTGGCTGAGTTGCTGACTTGGGTGTTCTCACCTCGGGGTGCCGAGTGGGCGACGGGAAGGGCGGTGCAGTGGACGGCAGGAACGAAAACGCAAAGAGACGGTTCTTCGGGGTCGGTGCCGCGGAGGGGTCAGGGGACACAAGGGCATTGTCAACGTGCAGTGTAACTTGAACCTCGGCTTCAGACCGAGCCCTCGAGACAGGCGAAGGGTATGCCTCCGACGACACCCACACGGCTGAGGCAGCAGGTGGCTCCAGAGAGATAACGGGGTCCTGGCCTAACCCCCCGGGGTCAAGGTGAGTGGGAGAGTCATACTCAAATATCTTGTCCACAAACACCCACTTGAGGCCGGCGATGCAGAGGCAGAGGCTGACCAGGCAGGCCAGGATGGGGACAATGCAGATCTTCTCGGAGTTGAGACAGCCTCGCAGGCGCTCGGCTTCCAGGCAGACGCAGCAGGGAACCGCCAGGCCCACGAGGCCCGGGCTTCTCCCATCTTCAGTCTGGGTCTCTGGCATGTCTTCTGCTGCCGGAAGCCCATCAAGAGATGGGTCTGCACTCAGCTGAGTGGAGGGGCTGGACGACCTCTCAGCAGCTCCCTCAGACATGTCTGGGGAATAGATCTCCATCGGCTCACCTCCAGAAGGCCTGGCCTCTCTCACGGTCCATTACCATGCAGAGCCCCCCCCAACCAAATGAGACAGCATCTTCCAGGGGGAAATCGATAAGTCGTCCAAGTCCAAGGCCATTATCCGAAGCAAGAGGAGTTCAGGAGGAAGGAAGAGAAGGGGGGGGGAGCCTCTAGCAACTACCAAATAAAAGTATATTGTAATTCTTGACCGCTGTTTGGGGGGCCACTTTTGCAGTTCTTTTAAATGCTTCTCCAAAGCATCCCGGCCGGCTGGTCCGGAGGACACGGGCCAAAGCAGACACCCGGCTGAAGGTGGCTGGATTAAGTAAACCAGTAGCCCAACCCGAAAGGCATGTTCCTCACCTCGAGCCCCTGAAGCTGGCGTCTGCTTGGGTGGGGAAGCCCGCTGTCACGCAGGAGCGGCAGGAGCCGGGGCAGGGCCGGCGCCGGCGGCGGCAGCGGCATCCTGCGGGCGAGCGCGG